TTCAGGTTACTAGGTAACATCAAATATTAAGAACTTTTGGTTATGTCATAAATTTTAAGTTCCTAGAATAGTGAGCTTTTCCCTCTTTACTGCAGTCTTATGATTTGGGAAAACTTACCTTCAAAAAGCTGGAATATGTCAAGTGCTTGTTTTCAAATTCATTGCTACCATTCCATGGAGAAGATAAATTTGAGTCCACGAGGACCATTTGGCGAGACTGATTGAACAGAAGAAAGGCTGGTTCCCAATTTTGATGGTGAGAATGAAGAAAAATGAAATGATTTGAGAGAGAAAAAGAGAAAAATCCACATGATAGATTCCAAGGCAAAATCTGTTGAAAGATTGAGATAATTCCATGAATTACATTGAAGTTCAAGATGAAAAACTAGATAGTGAATGGTGCTGTTTGTCATAATTAGGAATGGAGTTCAGAGTAGGCTTTAGAAGTCAAATTATTTCATTTGCCTGTGTTGTGAGTGTGAGATGCCCAAGGTGAGTGGGAGGGTATTTTCTAATCAGCCAGTGATACAGAATCCAGCAAAATCTCTACCTAGACTATGAATTTCATGGCCAGTATATGGTCTGAAACCATCCTAGAAATGTATGATGTGGAAAGAATGAGAAAAACAAGCGTGAAAGGAGCAGATTGTTCAGGGGAGGGGGAAAATTGTCTGTCATATGAATTGAGAATAAGGGATCAGATTGTAATCTAAGTCAGGTGGGAGAGAGAGGGTGGGAGCTGTGTGTGAAGCCCCTGTAGCCAACAAGTCATGGTGGAGGAGGACACAGAAGGGACCACAGGGTGGAGAGAGGGGTGGGCACAGTTCTAGGCCAGTTTGAGGGAAAGTACTAAGTGCTGGAGTTTCCTTTTCTTGTACATCAGATCACAGGACAGAGATAATTTCATGGAAACAAAATGTACCTGATGTGACAAAGATCAAAGCTGTTAAGTACATGAGCTATGGATGCATTTACTGTGATCCCAGATGAGGTTCCTTTTTTGTTCCTTTGGTGTGAGGCATTGTCCTAAGCTCTGTTACTAATGGTATAGATCAGCATTTTTCCAGCAGGTTCCATGATAGGCCTCCAAATATTCCAAGAGGGATGCTGGTGAACTTTTGTAAATGGAGGGCCAGAGCACAAGATTAGGGGGTCAGCTGTAGGATGTGAGGAGTGGTCATGGGAAGAAAACAGGTTCTGAATGAACCCACGGTCAGAAAATGGTTGAAAAATAATGATGTATATTGTTTAGTTTTATAGAGAAGAGATATTTATAAAACCCCGGTAAATCATAGTTGTTTTCATACATAGGGTCCAGGACTGCACTGCACTGCACTTGTCCTCCCATTGTTCATCGATTTGCTCGAGTGGGCCCACTAACATCTCCATTGTGAGACTTGTTGTTTCTCTGTTTGTATATCTAAATACGTCATGGATGGCTTGCCAGGCTTTGCTGTGCAGGCGGAATACTATCAGTAGCTTGCCGGGCTCTCCAAGGGACGTGAAAGAATCAAATGCAGGTCAGCCCAGCTGACTGTGTGCAAGGCAAAAGCCCTACCCGCTGGGCTATCGCTCCAGCCCAGGGTCCAGGAGATCCGTATTTTAATCAAGAAAAATATTGTTTGTATAAATGCTATATTTTCAGAATCTTACTATTTTATTTCTTTGACATCAGAAAATTCAGATAGTTTTGTCACCATTTTAAAGATGGGAGTCTACTTTAGGACACTGTCATTAATGAATAATGAGCTTATGGATATATATCATTCCAAGGTCAGGTATGTTCTATGTGTTGTCATATAATATAGACATATATAATATAGAATATAAATGTTCTACACTATGTCATCTTTGCTCCTGGGAAATTAGTTTTATTATCTTTATTTTACAGATAAGAAATCCCAGTCTCCAAAAAGATTAAATTGCATACATATTGGTGCACAGTGTGTGAATGAGGGAGCTGAAACTGGGGACTCCATCTCTGTCCCCTTTCTGACTTTTCCATTCAGCCCTTAGGATCTATGGAGATGTCTGATCTACCTTTGGGTGCTCTAGAGAAGTTAGAAAAATCATGTTCCCCAAAGCAGATAAGACGGATGGCCTCTGGCAGAAATTGGGTGCAATTAAGGATAAGAAATTAGAGAAGTGGATGGACTCAGACAAGTTTAAGCATTTCTAATTTACAGGCTCTCCACAGAGCTGTATTTGTTGTTGGTGCAACCTGAGAGATCTTGTTGATTTGTGAAACTTCCTTCTTATGAAATTCCACCTGGGGAAGGTTTTTGTTAGCCCAATTTCTAACCCATTCCATTTCCAGTTTCAATAGAGAGGTGATTAGAATATTTAAGATCAGGATATTTCCTTTTTTCTATGTAGGGGACCAATAATCAGGTCTCTGTGCTGTGGAAAGACTGTGATTACAGGTGTGTAGTAAGTTGAAATAGTGGGGCCCAGGAAAACCGTGGGGACACACGGACAGTTCTTAATGTCACAAAATCAAGAACTTCTTTTGATCCAGTGGTTCCATTTTGCTGGTACTTGGACACATTAGCAAAGATACAGGTGCAAGAATGTTCACTGAGGCATGATACCCAATAGCAAAACTAGATGGACCCCCACCCAGATGATCATTAAGAGGGCCTTGGCTGAACCATCATCCTGAGTGCTGAAGCTGGTCAGCTGAGACTCACATTGAGGTCAGATAACAGGCACTGAGGTGGAAAGGCTAAGAATTGACTGAGTGAAGAAACAGTTGTGTGATGGAAGACTCCTTTGGCATTTTAAAATATCCATGGCATTCAAAATGGCGGCAGAAGCAAGTAAGGCTGACAGGCATACAGAGAAGAAATACCAGGGTAGCATGTGTGCTTGTGTTGCTCAGAGTTGTCAGTGGGCTCACAGTGAACAGCATTTGTTACTATGTTCACTCATGTGGCACTTAGTAGGAATCAGGCCCACAGGGACATGACTGTAATTTCCCAGCACATACACAGAACTTCGTTCTAGATGAATGAGATGTAAATTAGCAACTCAGGTGAACTGGGGAGAACACAGTCTGTCACCATTTTTTAGTTGGAAAAGATAAGAGGGTTGCCCATGAAAGAGTGTGTGCTCTACTCGTGAACTATCTCCTGCCTCTATTCCCTCTAAAAGCATAAGTACTGAAGGTGACACATGGAGAATAGTGTAGGATTGTGGTGGTAGGGCAGGGTAACAGAAGTTCTGTATAGTTATGTTGTACTTGTTAATGCTATTGTAATGACCTAAACTATAATAGATAAAAAATACTCTGAAATAAGTAAGAGGTTAAAATATCAGGTGAAGTGGGAGCACAGAACTTTTAGAATCTTTGGTTTCTAAAAAGATTATTTTGGAATCTTTAGTTGTCCACTACTGTCACTGTCACTGTAACTGCCCTCCCGTTGTTCATCGATTTGCTCGAGTGGGCCCAGTAATGTCTTCATTGGAGACTTTGTTGTTACTGTGTTTGGCATATCGAATACATCACGGGTGGCTTGCCAGGCTCTGCCGTGTGGGCGAGATACTCTCGGTAGCTTGCCGGGCTCTCTGAGAGGGGCGGAGGAATCAAACTCGGGTCTGCCATGTTGGCTGCATGCAAGGCAAACACCCTATCAACTGCAAAATTCACACTGACTAGCAGGCTCTGCTTGTGGTGTGAAGTAGGACCACTAGGTGATATGCTAGAAAATGGTCCTAGTTTTGCTTGAGACTCTAGTAACCTGGATTTTGGTGTCTTGGAGCACAGTCTTTAAGCGTCTTGTGTATATTAAGTCTTCAACATTCCATTAAATCTGGTAGAGAAGCAACCGACTCTCCTAATTTTTCTCTCAGAAGTTGTACTTCCAAACTCTGTAGATAGGGCTCATTCATGAACATGGCTCAGTTCTGCCAGTTTCTACCTGGGCCCTCTCTGCACCAGACTCAAGAGGTCTGCAGTGCTCAAGCACTAGAGTCTAGGAAGAAAGACAGCTGGGGAGGTAAAGAAATACTGCAGATATTGCTGGTGGTTTCCTCTGTGGGACTGGGTTGAGTAAGCCTTTCTCACTATGGAGAGCAGCCTTCTTTCCTTTTTCCCTTTTTCTTCCTCTTGATGATGATGCCCGGGGGAGTGGAACTGTGCAGTGTCAAGGGTCGAACCCAGGCCTCCCCCTGTACAGAGCCCATTGAGATTTTTCCTGCCTGAGTCCTTTTTTCTCTAAGCCAAGGAGCAGAATTCAGCACCGAGTAATCTATCAGAAAGAGTGGATAGTCCTCAATAGAAGCAGAAATGCCTGCAGGCCAACTTGCTGTGCATGACCCACCATGCCACGGATTGGGTCCGTCCTCCTCAGTGGCCAGGCATGGCTTTTCATGTGCCAACTCTGAGATTTTTAGACTGAAAACTAGTAGCAGTTTCTGATCATACATGTGGGCTACTTAAGGCCATTTAAAAAATAAAAAGTAGATCAGGGCCAGAGAGATAGGATACCAGGCAAATGCCTGCTTTGCACACAGCTGGCTCTGGTTCATTCCCCTGAACCAGGAGTGATCCCTGAGCACAGAATCAGGAATCAGCCCTGAGCACAGATGGGTGTGGCCCCAAAACAAAATCAAATAAAACTAAATTGAAAATTAGGTCAGGGCTGTGCAGAGAGTGGGGAGAGAGAGAGAGAGAGAGAGAGAGAGAGAGAGAGAGAGAGAGAGAGAGAGAGAGAGAGAGAGAGAGAAACAGAGACAGAGACAGAGACACAGAGACACAGAGACAGAGACACAGAGACAGAGACAGAAAAGAAAGAACAGGGATTAAGGCATCCCACTAACTCTGGTTCTAATTCCAGGTAGCAAATGTGCCTTAGCACTTACAGGAATGATGTCCTCTCCCCAGCACAGAGCCAAGAGTGGCCCTAAATCCACCTTGTCCCCTACACACTGATAAATAACCTCCCCACGCCCCAAACACCTGACCACTCTCTGCTCTTGTCTCTCTGCATGTGCTCCAGGTGGGGGAGTTCCGAGCCCATGCTGCCGAGTGGACAGCCAATGTCACAGCTGAGTTCAAGGAGACTAGGCGGCGGCTGAGCGTGGAGATCTACGACAAGTTCCAGCGGGCCACGTCCATCAAGCGCAAGCTCTCAGCCGAGCTGGCAGGCAACCACACCCAGGAGCTGACGCCTTGCCGCAGGACCCTGTCAGTGAATCACCTGGCCAGTGAGCGGGATGCGCTGCCGCCCCTCCTCAAAGCCGAGAGCATCTACCTAAATGGACTAACCCCACACCGTGCCACTGATGACATTGCTGTGATAGAGAACTTTAAATAGCCCATGCTCCAGAGATGGGGGTGGGGAGGAGGAGCAGTAGGTGAGGACTCCTTGCTCTTTCTGACTTGCTGGTAGTGTGTTTTTACAACAAACAAAACTTGTGCATGAGCTCCAACTGGGGGGATGATGTAGAGCTGCCCTCCTCCCCTGTCATCTGCCATGGAGAGCACCTGGAATCCTGAGCCAGCACTCTCTGACCACGCTTGTTGGGACAGCCGCTTGCTTTGACAAGTGCCATCTCACAAGCTCGTCTGCTGCCTTTCTGTGCCCAGACTGTTGTCCCCGCTCCCCCCACTGGTCCCCATGTGCCATCAGGCCTATGAGTGGAATTCTGTTGGTTTCTTGTGAGAAGGTAGCTTTCACAGATCAGTCCTTCCACTATTCAGGGTCTTCCTACCTGAGCCTAGATGTGGTCCTTTCATAACTGACGGCTTTTCTCTTTGTAAGTGGCAGGCAATTCTTATGCAGCCTTTGACCTAAGAAATTTTCTGTCAGTGCCTTATCTTTGGAAGAATCCGAGCCTCTCTAGCTAATGCTTGGTCTCTCTTTCTCTGCCCTGCCCCTAGGCTTGACTCTGCAGACTCCCCTCCCTGACATCCCACCCTCACTCCTACACACACACACACACACACACACACACACACACACACACACACACACCCTATGATCCCTTTAAGATCCTTCCCCTTGCTGGTAACAGTTTATACAAAGACAGAAACGAGTGAGGGTGTTGGAAGAGGGCATAGAGGCCAAATTAGAGGGACCTTGAAACACTCAGAAATTTAGCGTTAAAGGCGCTGCAGAGAAATGAGGAGAGAAGGCCTCCTTTCCCCTCTACCCCAGTAGCATCAAGGGTCCACAGAGTGCGGCTCAATCTTTATTATTTTTCTGGTTTTGTTTTTGGGCCATACCTGGCTGTGCTCAGGGGTTCCTTCTGGCTCTCCACTCAGGAATTACTCCTGGTGGCATCCAGGGGACTAAATGGGATGTGGGGGGGTTGAACCTGGGTTGGCTACCTATTGCTCTGGTACTGAGTGGGGGGTTGCTCTGGTCCCGACCACGCTGGCCACCAGAGCCAGCCCTTTGCTTCCTGGGAGTATTTGCAACTTTTCATTGATTATTAATTATTCATTTTAATGGTAGGTAAAGACCTCCTTCTATCTAAATGATTTGATATAAGTAACAGTTAAAAACAGCTGTAGGCAGGTGATTTATGGTAAGTGGTGTAAAAATAGCACAGAGGTAGTGTGGGCTAAGAAACTGCCAGGGTGACCTCCCTTTTCTTTTAGGAGAGCCTTTTCTGACCTTCTTTGGGTGACAGAGACAAGAAGAGTGGTACAGCAGGGGATGGAGAGGAGCATATGGGCCCAGGCTGTGAGGAGAAACCCAGATTCATAAGTGTGAGAGAGTTGAAACTGACCTTCTTTGGGTGATAGGGCCAGGAGAGATGGCACGGTGGAGAAGGGGTTATGGACACAGCCTCCATGGGGGAGCCTCCAGATTTGTGAGTGTGAGAGAGTTGAAGCAGGGACCACTGTGATTTTGCACACGGGAAAATGCAGATTCTTGGTATAATTTGTCTCTGATGTCGAGAAGAAGCTGTTAGAGCACAATTTAAACCTCGAGAGCTCTTGCTTTTCTTTTCTTCTTAAGATAGACAAGGCTGGTAATCCTTTTGAGTTTAATTTTATATCCTGTAATTCTTTGGAAGTTTTTCAGGATCAGAAAAAATACAATTGAAGGGACCAGTAGATTGACTCCTCATTCCTTTATTTTCATATGCGATCTGCTGTATATTGTATATATAATTTTTAAAATACAGGAAGAAGATGATTTCCCTAAATATAATTACAGAACTTATTTCTTGTACTCTGGGGGAGGTGGGCTGGGAGTATTTGAATAAATGGGATTCAGATTCGGGTCTTATAAAATAAACCCAGGATCGTAAAAAAGAAAACAAAACAAAACAAAAACTTCATAGATGCCTATTTTCCAAGATTTAACCTAGAAATGTAAATATCCACATAACTTGTTGAAGGTACTTTTATAAACTTAAAATAAATTCTAACCAAAATTTTAGAAAGTCAGGCTCTTTTAGAAAGAAAGCTACACCATTTTCTCAGTAATTGTTCTGAAAATTCTTATGGTGGAATACACCATGTATAAACTGTGAATTGTATTGACAAATAAAGTTTGTAATTAAAGTCAGCAGTTTTTAAGTCGCCTGCTTTGGCTGAGCATTTGGAAATGCTTCTAGTTGAGTAGACTCTAGGAGGTGGCTTCATGTGGAGTTTTTTGTGGCACCTTCACTCGCAGTATTCCCCAAATCACTGTCACAGTCACGGTCCTCCCGTTGTTCATCGATTTGCTCGAGTGGGCCCAGTAACGTCTCCATTGGAGACTTTGTTGTTACCGTGTTTGGCATATCGAATACATCATGGGTAGCTTGCCAGGCTCTACTGTGCGGGCGAGATACTCTCGGTAGCTGCCGGGCTCTTGGAGAGGGGCGGAGGAATCGAACTTGGGTCGGCCATGTTGGCTGCATGCAAGGCAAACGCCCTACCGCTGTGCAATATTTTAAATAATTATTACTTCCCTCATTAAATACTTCTAAAATGTTCTTCTTGGTGGCGGTGTGAAAAAACAAACATTCTGAATTTTTATTTTTAAAATAGGATATTTTAAATTAGTATGAATTCAAGGTGTTGCCATTATATTATGGTATCTCATTTAATATGGTGGGACATAACTTGGTTTAACACTAAAGTGGTTTGAATGCTGAACACAGGCACCAAAATGCCTTTAAAGAAAAAGACCAACATCCCAAGAGTGCTGAAGCCTGAACAAGTCGTCACTAACAATCTCCTACTATTCAGACTTTAAATCTTTAGGCAGTATCTCCAGCAAGTGGACTTGTTCATTTCTAAACACTTTGACGCTCAATAAATATCCTAAAACTGGATTCCTAGGTCACCTTTAGGGAGAGGCATGTTTCAGAGCAGTTTAATGTCCTCAGGCTTCCTCCATTTACTTCTTGTGGAGAGAACATTGGTAAAGATTTTGCTGTAATCTTGAGTTTTTCATGGTTTGTTTTCTCACTTTCTGACTTGGTCTGAGAAAACTTTTGCCTCAAAGGATCTTTATGGAGAAAAAAATGAAGTGCTGGATCCAAAGTCTCATAGATTCTCAGCTGTGAAATCTCAGCACTATAGCTTCTTTCTCTCTAAAAGTGATGACTGTAGAGGCTTTTCATTTCTTGTACAATCTGTACACTCTGCTCCAGATTCATGTCACTTCTCTGTGTCTCTCTGTTGTCTGTCTGTATGTCTCTCTCTCTGTATCTTTTTCACTATAAATGAGTAAGTAGTATGATAGAATTTGTTTCTTTCTCAAATTCTAAGGAATGTGTGAGATATGAGAGCCCAGATCCCATCTTACTCAATGTTAGAAATCAATGGAATTAATTGATCTTTAAGTCTAGAATTCCTACAAACTAAGGTGAGTTTAGATGGAATTCCAAAAAAAAATTGATTAGTTGCTTGGAAGACTTGAGATACTTATGTATGCCTAATAACTGGTGGTCTAAACCAATGTTTTATTTTCCTTTTTTATTATGAAACATGCTTACTCTAATAAAATAATAATTTATTTGTGGCTTGCATTCCTTACTAAAATAAGAGTTTAAATAAAGATTTCTTTCTTTTGATATGGCATTGCTTTTCAGAGTTCGTTGGAAACATGCTGCCTGTATTCATATGCACTGATGGATCAGGTCTCTTGGAGCCCATATCCATCTAGCTAAACTACCCTTGAGCAGCTCCACTTCTTGTTGGAGCCTAGAACCTCATGAGTTTTACCCTTACTTGGAAACACTATTTCAGTGAATGCCACCCCCATCCTTCTGGTCAGGCAAGTCATTCTAGATGCCTTCTCTCCACATTCGCTACACCAGGTCCTGCTGATTTGTTATGTGAACTTAAAAATGTTCCATTATAACCATAATAACCATAATCTTAATTTAAACCACATAATTCTATTCCTGCTATGATGCTTTCCTCTCATTTTCTCCTCCTCCTGTGGATGGTAGATTGGAATTTCTAATATGAAGATGTGGTGTTATTCTCCCATTTCAATATACACAGTATTCCCACTTTTTAAGATTAAGATCAGAATCCTCCAAAATGGCCTTTGAACCATCCAGATTTACCTGTTTTACCCTACTGTATGCCATCCCTTCCCAACTCATCTGCTCACTCCCTGCCTCTCCTCCCAAACCCATTCCGTTTTCCTCCCATCTCAAATTTGTGCTTATTATTCCCTTTCTTGGCATATTCATTCTCCTTTAGCTCCTCAACTTTTTTACCCAACAAACTTCTACTCACCATTCAGAACCTAGCTCAGTATCTTTTGCCAGGCTCTCCAAGAGGGGTGGAGGAATCGAACCTGGGTCAGCCATGTGCAAGACAAACACCCTCTCCACTGTGCTAATCACTCCAGCTCATGAAAATTAAAACAGAGATAAAATAACCATTTAAGTAACCTCACATATGAGCATCTCAAATTTTCTCAGTACAGTTGACAAGTACTCACAAACTAGGACCGCTCAGTTATTCTGAATGCTCTGACTGCCAGAGAATTGATTGGTACCAACTTTGATTAATGAATAAACATCATAAATAATGAGAGAAGCCTGCACTTCCTTCCAAGTAAACTTAATTCAAGTGTTCAACAGGGAACCTCCTTGATTTGGTTGAGATGAATGTAACTCAAGCCATCCTTGACACTGGATCTGAAGTCTGACCTAGTTTCTCAAAGAGCTGTCACTACAACAAAGAGAAAAGGCAGTCACTGGGAATGCCCCAGCCAGCATCCCCGTCTGTCTTATGGAAGTGAGTAGCCCTTGTATGCCAAGAGCCATGAGAAGTCTTTTTGAGCCTTTCCTCCACATGTCTCTGAGGAGGCCTGCTGCAATGATGAAATCTTCCTTGAGAGATTTCACTCTCTCTCAGTGAACCTATCACTCTGCTCTGAATCCAAGTGGCAATTTCTTTCAGTATAACAAGGCTTTTTGAGCTTCGGTGGAAAAATTTAAAACTGCATTTCCTATTAATTTACAAATGCTTTCCCCATGGCAAAACTGAATAAGAAAGGCTTAACATTTTGCAGTTGGATAATTTTTTACAACCAGCTGGGAAACACAACCAACATCACAATAAAAGACTCTAATTTTCTTGAATTTTTTTGGCAACAACTTAGCAGAAAATAATATTTATTTAATCAAATTCTGATAATTGTCTGCCATTTAACTGTCCTATGCCTACTGTGCACTGCAGGAAATGCACTGAAGACCAAAGACAGGCAATACTTTTATTGTCACTTCACTACTAGCTAACCAAGTGCTTCTCTGCTTGTTCAAATTTTTCTAAACCAATTGCTCTGAAATTGTTATTTAACCAAGTGGATCCAATATCTCAGTAATGTAATTGTGAAGAATCAAAACTCTATGTCATATGGTAATACACAGGAGTGATCCCTGAGCACAGAGCAAGGAGTAAACCCTGACACCGCCGCATGTGACCCCAACACCAAAGAAATCAGAAAACTAAAGGTCAGCTTCCCCCCAAAATGTGTTGTACAACACTACCCTTCAATATTCTTTGGAAAAAAGAAAAAAATAGTCTATGGCTAAAAAATATTGACAGGCCAGAGACATAGTTCAGGAATTGAGGCCCATGATTTGCATGTAGTCAACCCATGTTGTGCCT